GGCCTGTGGTGTATCCTCTAAGATACAGAAATGAAGCAAAGGGGAACAATCTTCTGGAAAACAGAACATTTAAGGCCTTTATAACAGTTGTATGCTACAGACCATCTTACGATGACATGGGTACATGAAACGCACTTTCTGGTGACATCTGGAAGACAAGTAGCAAAGATGGCATTGTTGAGAGTTTTCTATTTTCCACACATTAGGAATATTATGGGCATATTGTGATGAGGAATACAACACAAGCTGCAGCTGTCATGGTTATTAAACAGTTAAACATCACTTTTTAACCCCATTTATAAGTCACCTACTAGGAAAGATATGATAGAACCACTGGGAAATTGTAACCATAATACAGTAACTATTGATGCATATTTTAAATCCCCAAAGCCCAAGCCTAAAATGAGAGTTTCGAATTTTAGAAAAGCAGACCATGAAGGAATGAGACAGAGTTTACAAGCGATGAACTGGGAACAGATGGATACAGAGTCAACAGCAGAAGAACAGTTATACTTCAAAAACAATGTTAATGCCTCAAAATGAATTAATCCTTAAAACAAATTAGTCCCAAGTATGAGAAATTGTGGGCTGGGTAGTTCCATGGAGAAATTAAAATAGAAGGAAGAGTATTCAACAGAATGTGTAAAAAAGGACCAGATTCAAAGACGGAAAAAGAGTACACTAAGCTACAAATACAGCTACAAAAATGTATTGCTTAGAGAATACTCCAACAGAGGCTCAAAATAATGCAAAGCATTTTTCCATTACTACAACAGTAAAAGAACTATAAATGCTGTAAACAGTTACAGCAAAACAAGTAAACAGCTCATGAAATAATAGAAGTTTAATAATAGATTAAAATATTAATTTTCAAATGAGAAGCTCTAAGAATCCAAGGCAATGTAGATACATGAATCAAGAACTTGTTAACAAACAGTAAACAGCCCATCAAAACTTCTAATTGGCTAAATGCAAGTAGTGGTGTACCACAGGGATACATTTTTGGACCTCTGCTCGTGCCAATATTTCTAAAAAGTTACAGTTGTTTAGAAATGTATACTCTGCATAGAAATTATACATACAGTAAATATGGGAGAATTTTGAAATTTGGGCAATATTGGGAAGAAACCTGAACGATACAAATTAACATCAATATATACAAAGTAGCCAATGCAGGCAGCAGAATTATACATGATATATTGCTCTGGATTGATTTAGAGCTGCAGGAAGCTACAATAGTGCTGTTTGTGTAGATACACTATTGCCTCATCCAGACATCGTGGGGCAGTAATGAAAGTAGCATACAGAAAGCGGGGTACATAGAAACAAGTGTAATGGGAAGGTATGCTCAACCATTACAAAGACCTTATTTAGAAATGACCTAACAAGACCTTATTTAGAAAAGCGTCTAAATAGCTTTAAAACGTTCTCAAAGAAGAACAACAGGAATTTTTAATCTCAGAGGTATGTCACATATAGTCATGATGAACAAAAAAAAAGTCTCAGCAACCAGAATAGTACTGCAGAAAAAAACTAATGTTGGATACAGTAAAAAAAAAACTTTGGTGTTCAACAGTGAAGCTGCAGTGTAAATAGCAAACCTACTGTATCTTACTGTATCTTTGGAAAGATTGCACAAATTGTAAAAACAACTACACACTTACTCGTAAATAGTACCAAAGACCAGTCTTGCTACAGTTGTTCTTTAAACAGGCAGTATTAATCCAGTATCACCAATCTGACCTGAAAACTCACAAGGCAATGAAACCTTTAACTGAAGTTCTGCACGAGCTCTCTGATCTCACCACCTATGTAGTTGTACCTTCACAGTGAACTTGGTCTCTTGCTGACCCTAAGCCACTTATTTACTTAGGGGCAACAGGGTCACATCGAGGTGAATCACACTTCTTCCCCAGCGAATAAGGAGAGGCCTCCGTGGGTCAGAGGCCTCAAAGCAACCAGACTTGAACCAAATCCCACCATCGAACAAAGCACTTCTCAAAAAGAAACAATTCAAAAGGACATCGCCTACGGTTGATATGATCTGTTTTATTTAAGCATGTGCCAAGCTTTTACTTCACCGTTCACACAGCAGAGGGAAAGGATAATATATTCAGATAAAAGAGAACGACCAAAGGGCATGGCAATGGCTCACAAATCTTAAAAAAGAAAGGGAACAATATCTAAAACGTTACTAAATAAACCATTCTGCTGGGATGTAATGACGTTTCAACCAGCTAAAAGAAACCAGTTTAAATACACTATAACAAATAAAACGACAGAAAAAACACAACTCGGGTACAAGGTAGGTGTTCACTTGTTTTTAAAGTCGGCAGTCAAGTCTGTTTTTATTTGACCGAACAGCTTGCTTCAAACTGCTCAACACAGCAAGCACTCAGATAAGGTTAGGACAGGAAGCTTCATTTGACTATTCCCATTGCTGGACGGAGGATCGGCCACAAAACATATTTCAGCATGCCTTTCACATGGAGCTTGGGTTGTGAAACTTTAGGGAATCATGACTGGCTTGTTTGGGATTAGAAGGGGATTAAGTTATGTGGAAACCAGGACTTTTTTGGGGGGGTTTTAGTGCAGATGCGCAACAGGTAAAACAAAAGCCCACTTGTCTGAAAGTGAGGCTGACAGACTGCAGCCTGTTCAGACCCTTCTGTATACAGCAGGAACCAGTGTAGTTGTTTGCTTACATACATAATGACCGAATATATAAATATAAGTAAGCAAAGATGTCTTCGTTTGGAAAACTAATTAGCTGAGTGTGGATACAAAAGAGGAGAAACTACGACATGAAACCTGACCTTTTCACTATTACGGATTAGCCTGTCAGAGCTAAAGTAAATTACTAAATTTCCAATGGGTTTGCTGATTATTGAAAGCTTTACAATAATCAGTTTCAAAACACTACATGAAATGTATATCCTTATAGATTTAAATACTTACATTGCTTTACCAAACTACTAAACAGTTTTTCTATGTGCTACAACATTTAAAGAATTTGCACATGTATGTACTTCTTTAAAGTTATAAAACAGTAGAGGCTATTTTTATTATAAAAATCAACAATACATTACAGATTCCAAAGACATTTATAAACATTGTATAAGTTTTTTTTGTAACATTAACACGGTTTTTATTTTTAGAAAAAAGCACTTTAGGATTGCTGTATATTTCAGTTTCAACCACATTTATGCGCAGCAACACAAAAATCTGTTTATGTGTTAATCCTAAAATTGAAGTGGTCTCGAAGCACATTAGTTACAGTAATAAAAGATGTCTCTTCACCTTTGGAGAAAAGGGGATGGGTTTTGTAAAACCTTTTTTCTTTCGATATTTAGTTTTAATGCTTAGGGACTGATTACAGGTGAAGACATATTCTAAATAGCTAAGTGCTGTCTTTGTTCTGGAGAGTAAAACACAAAGCAAGCACAAGGCTGACAAACATACAGTATCCGTGTTGAAAAGAAGCCATCTCATCTCCACTAACATCACCAGGATAACTTGAAGCACCAGCCAGTACAAAAACGTATCCAGGACCGATTTAATATGAACTGCTTCGCATTTATAAGTGCAAAACTAGGATTACAATAAAACTGTGCTACAATTCTGTAGATTTACAGTCTATAGATTGTATTCAATCATATTGTAACCTGCTGAATAGAATGGCTCTCCTGAAAGTCACAGCTATCCAATTATACCCCATGCTTTAAAATCAGGGAAATCTCTAAAGCACGTTAAAGTAGATGTATCAGGACTGAATAACACAATAAAACACAATAATCAATAAATAACACAATAAAACCAAATAATTCATTGTCCTGAAGAGTTTTGTTTTTCTTGAACAACCTATTTTGCATTCAGTCAGACCAAGACAGCTTGCAATCTTCTAGCCATCCACATGATACAGTACGTACTGTACTGCCACGTGTACCTTTTAAAAGATTGTGTTTCACTTCTTCTCACTCAGTCCATCACACTGACCAAGAAACATTATCTGGGAAATGAGAGCCATGAGCACTTTAGCACAAAGACCACATAAAATGTACTTGGTAATCCATCTAGCTTTGTCACAAGAATACATTTTCTCATAGCACAGTATAAACTTGCATAGATCTCACCCTCCACAAAACTAAAGATTTCCATAGTTTCATAACAATACAACTCAGACTGGAATCCCCAGGAGATGTAAAGGAAAGGGAATCCCCAGCTAGCACCTATGCAGCAGTCTGTGCACACCTGCACTTGACCCAGGGGACATTCCAGGCAGTGGAAATCTGGCAGACTTTATGAAGACAAACTGCTCTTGTGCAGTACATAGCAACACACTGCATTGCACAGAGCTCGCATCTGCTCACCTACTCGCGACGAGGGGCAGGGGTAGAAAAAACAGGGAGCCAAGATTATTTTATTATTCTAAAATAACCAGGGAGACAGTGCTGTATAATAGCGCTGGACTTAAGATATTTCCTTACATGGCAGACAGCAGTGAAGTTAAATGTACAGGCTGAGCTCAGGGTTGATGACCTACCTGTTACAGTCTTGGTTTTCACAGGGCTGCTGGCGTAGTCAGAGGCCTGATTCGATGGCTGCTTCAACAAAGGCGTGCTTCCCACTGACTGGTCATCCTCCTTTTTCTTGGTCCCAGGTATAGCAAGGGGCACTGCTCCTGTTGGCTGTAAAAACACCGTGCCACAGCGCCTGTCACTTGTACTCCTCAGATAAACCACACGCCTCAACCTGCACCCACTACACTTTTGAGTCTCAATACATACACACTGCAATACAATAACAGCAGTCTTTTTTGCAGATTTACCAATGCATTGCTTATCTGTCAATAATGATACTGAATAACACACCCTGGACTCAATCAGGAACAAAAACACATTTCAATGAAGCAATAATACCTATATGTTTAGGGTAGACGACAGTGTAATGAGGCCTTTTCAGAAACACACTGAGAAACGTATCTTTTTTTGTACTAATCAGTAAATACATTTTTTTTTATTTATGATGAATACATATCCAGCCAAAACGATGACAAGTAACACAATGGGAACCTTGGAGCTCCAAGTTAAACAGGAGAGCGCCTGCAGCAGGTACGTTTATCTTTTAACTTCAGTACAAAGCCCTGCCACATGATGGAAAACCTCTCTAAACCAGCTCGCTTTCCAAAAGCTGCTGTAATGCAGTAGCAATGTGGAATAAGTAACTGGATAGTGTACTCGCACACGCACAAAAAATATTTAAAAGGCTTCAGCTCTAAAACATTAGATTACAAATGACAGGAGCATCCATTCCTGTTCCTGGGGGAGGGTGGGATTGAGTTGCAAAATTGGTCCAATAAATGAGCTGACACTGATTCAGTTAATTAACAGCAGAGTTGGGAATAAAAGATTAGAAAATTTCCATTAAAACATTACATTTAACTGCACACAGTTTAAGCCATGTATTGTATCACTTACGAGTTTCGTTAATTCAAGCTCATTATTTACAGGTCAGATCATATATTTCAAAACGCAGCAAAACAACTGTGAAGTGCCAAGTTGCAGCCTCTGTGTTATACAGTAGTGTAGCCATGTCACACTTCCTTGAGCATCACTACTGGGTTTCTCCTCCCACAGTCTCGCCTTCAAGATGATGACCTGCGGACACGCTGTCACTGACCGCTCATCTCCACCACACTTTCAGCTCGTCTTCATGTCTGAGCGCCTGCCTGATCCCGGCATTTATGATTTTTCGCCCAGAACAAGGACAATCGTTTTTATTATAGCACCTTCTAAATACATCTAAATAAATAAATGCAGAGGTGGAGTGGCCCTGAATTCAGCACGTGTCTGACCACTGGCTGGTAAATAACTAAGAGACAAACGATCAACAGGTGCAGCTCTTGTCATCTCTCCTTGTAGCTGCCAGTTCCTCTGTACCTGTTCATGGTGTTACATGCTGTCATGCAAAACAATGACTTTTAATTTGAGTGCACACACGGAACATGTCCTTCTGTGTGATGGGAGAGTGATGGACATGCAATCGTTTCTTATCTGTTTTTTTGGGGGGTGGTTTTAGTAATTATTGCAGAGCACTCCTTCACCTTTCTTGTCTGAATGAACCAACATCCGACTGATGAGACAATCACCCTGACCCTCCCTGGACTCTATAAGGTCACGTTCTGAAGGCTGTATGCAGCCTGCCGACTGAGAAAGGTGATAACTGAATGGAGGTAACCGAGCTAAAATTCCTTTAAGAAGTATCTTAACTGGTTATTTCGTTTTGAAATGGACAGACTGTGTGTATATATTGTGTGTCCATCATCAACAATCACTCAGGGTTATAAAAACAAACTCTAGGACAAATCCTTGACAACTGTCCTTCAAAGTAAACACTGTCTTATCTAAATCTTTGGGACCTTGAAATATATGTTGATATTCAAACACGTAAAAGGCTATCCTTGAATTTTAATTTTTTTAAGCTTTAGAATTGGCTTTTATTGTCATCAAAAAAACAATGCTTCGGAAAATCAGCAACATATGCTGTACTGAGGTGTAACACAACCAGCCCACAGAACCAAGGCAGGCAAAGTAAAACTTTAAAGATGACTTCAACTTACCAAAGCTTTGAGTTTTTTTCTCAACATAGTATAAATCATGGACAACCTATTAAAAACGTTAACTACCAAACACAATATACATCATAATAAAAAACTGCTATGTTCCCTTTCGTATTGTTCTCACTTTTCTTACACCTTTTTTATTAATAGAGCATGTCTCAATTTCAGGAGTAAAAAATAAGTATGTATTTGTGCAGCCCAAAATGCTTTATTTTGTGAATAGAAAAAAAATACTTTCTGTTTTGACACTGGCAAGCAACAGGCGTAGAGTACACGGGACACCAGTCCATTGCAGGGCAGACACACACAAACACCAAGGCCCATCTTCTTTCAAAGTTTATTAAAGACAAAAATGTCAAAACCCCAACCGTGACGCCTGTCAAGCAGTTCAAAGCTGTGCAGGCAGGGAAGGTATGCAGAGCAGCATGAAAGCACACGGAGAAATGAAAGGGCATCACTCAGCTGCTGAGGGCAGCTAGGGGGCGATCGCTGTTACCTGTTGCATCGGCCGACCACTTCCCTTCTGAGGCTGGTGGAGAAGCCAATCGCAAAAGATGGGGTCCATGTTGACCGCAATGCCCTGAACGCTAAGCAGCAGGACAGCACCTACGAAACATTAAAAGACAGCGAGATGTCACCTCTCATGTGCTAGACCTTACACGTAGAAGCAGCGTTATTACCATGTAGCCTGATCTTGTCTGATCAAAGAAGCTTAGCGGGCTTGAGCCTGGTCAGCACTCAGACAGATAACTCCTAAGGAAATCCAGGCAGCTGCTGCAAGTTGGTAGGCACATGTAGTCTGATTTCCTCAGATGTCAGGAGTTAACCGAAGCTGAGCCTGGCCAAGAAGAGTGGTGGGACAGGAGACCTCCAAGGAAAGTCAGGCAGCTGCTCTTGGTGGTGGTGGTGGTGGTGGTGGTGGGATCAGCAGGTGAGACTCTTCCGTCAGGCCTAGAATTTCCAGGCCAATACCCCAGTATGATGACAGGGGACACTGTGCCGTCCCTCAGATGAGACTTAAAACGAAGACCCACACTATCATTTACGACTTAACTATTAACTATTGCAGTGTTCTTAAATACCCCAGGGTTCTGGCTATTTTCCTCTCTCAAGCCTGAGCCTAAGATGGCCTGCCTGAAATTTCCTCCTTAATTCAACTACTCCTCCACCTGAAATGCTGCACATTGGAGCCACTATGTAAAATTCAGATTGTCAAATGTTTTGCCTTTTTCTCTCAACTGCCTACAGTAATTTTCAAAATACCAGAGAGAGATACAAAAAGGGCACCTTACCAGTAAAAAAGACTTACAAGACAACACAGAGAACTAACACTTGTACAAATGCATTAAAATAAAAGAATATTTTAGCACTTTACATCAACAGAACAATTTCTTGATCTCTTTCAAGATCAAGAGCAACTTCAATGCAGTACTGTACTATAACGTGTTTGGAACAAAGTTGTATGTGTCTGACACTACGTAATGTGTTACATGTTAAAATAAATGCTCCAGAATAACTCCCATTTTATTGAGTTGAGTTATTTGGTGTAGTTTATCCTGTTAGAAAACATTTACACCATTGTTTAACTGGCACTGCATAATAAAAGCATGCAGTTTAGACAGCGAAGAACAGTTTGTTTCAATTGTGTGCAAAGTGTTTTAATTCTAAGCCAAACATAACATTTTCTTTTGATAAATCTCTGTGAAACTTGAGACTTTCTAGGGGTTTAGTTTATTCTTAAAAATTAATCTTTACCAACAATATCAGCCTGAGGTAATGCATTAGGACTCTATCAATAATGACTGCCATGCCTTGGGGATTAAATGAAACTCTGGAGTTTGCTATGGAATGCTTAAGACTTATGATAAGAGATCATTTTGTTCCTCTGATGAATTTCTTTATCCAAATGTTCTGTTTCAGACCTTGAAGAACTCTTGCATAAGCACAGTGTCAGCATCTTGTATTACATCAGGACACCCCAAATGCATAGCAAGAAAACTCTGTACTGCACATACAGCGCACTGCACTGGTTCATATTTCAAAACGTATCGGCTGCTGTGGACATAAAATTGTACACCTTAAGAAAAAAACTATCTGTTCACTGCAAAATCACATTTTCTGCACAAACTGCGTAGTTTTTCCCCACAGAGTCAATGTTAATTTCACAGGGCCAGTGTGTTGATCATATTATCTACAAGGGTAGGTTAAGATTGAATGGTTGTATACTGACTCAATATAGTCAACTTCTCTGGTCCCCAGGTTGTAATCCATTGGACCATGTCCAAGCACTCTTATACTTGCTCACATGTAAATATTATCTAGGGGCAGGGGGCTACTCTTGATGACTGCCCCTGGGGTAGAGACATTTTGTCCATGTGTCACATGACTCCCTCTGAAGGAGAGTGACACAGGTTGCTAGGAGACGTTACTATGACTGCAGCAGCAGCTGGGTGACATGGCATTTGTGTAACAGAGATGGTACACAGTACCGACTTAATCCAGCGGGGAGCCACTCACACAATGAAGAAAAAATGGATTTGGAAGCTCAGTACAGATTGACAAACAATTCTCTTCAAAACTGGGATTTGTTCTCACTCTGGCCTCTAGATTGGCATCGATCTCTTCTTCAGCCCACAGCGTAATTCCCAGTTTTCTATGAGCAATGACACGGTTGTGCAGCACATCATCAGAGCAATAATATGAGCATTTCAGAGCTGAGACCTTGCACACTTAAAAAAGAAAAAGATCTGTCATGGAAATTAATCCTGACAAGTCTGGTTAATTTTTAAGCCAAGTAGCTAAACAAAACATTACACCAACATGTGCTATGTGGTTAATAACAGTCCCAGTGATGATGTGATTGAAAGGTGTCTCAGAGCCCATCCACTGCATGTTCAGCAGGTGTTTCTCGGAGAGCTCATATTAGCCCAACCTGTTGACACAAGTGTAATATTCCAAGTGCGAGTTAATAAGAGCTGATTTAGTGCGCCTCAGATGAGAGAAGTGTCACTGGGAGAGAGGCACATAAATACACAGAGCCGCGGTGCAGGAAGGACGCTCGCTCGTTTGACTGAAAACAGATCTTGAATAAATCAACCAAGTGGAAGCCGTGCACATTCTGCGTCCATGTGGCTCTGGAGCAGCAGAAGGGGCTGTGGAGAGGAATTAGCTGGGAGTTATTTTACTGTGCCAAAGGACTCAGTGGTATGCATTCCAGAGGAGCTTTATCAATTAGCCATCCTTGGGCGCCGCAATCATTATCACTCATCGTCGTGAAGAATGAAGCTCTGCGAGGTTAGAAGGTTCAAATTTCCTGGATAAGTTGCTTTTTTAAATTAAAATGTTTCACTGTTTGTCAGTTTTATACCTCACCTGACAAGCCCGTAAAATCGCCCCTAAAGAATCTGTTTAACCCAAGGTTGGACAGCATTTTACCCTGAGCCAGACGGAGATAGCAGACACATCGATCTAAATAAAAGAGGAGTTAATTCGTTTTAATTAACATGCCGGACAGATATGGGCATGCATATCTCTTTTTATGGTAAGGAGTCCCTTTCCTATCAGTCCAGTTCATCACCATCTGTTAATCAGATGAGTCATTTGTAATGCATACATGTATTTTTTCTCGATTTTTCATGTTCACTGCTCATTTTCAACCTTAAAATGCTAGACATTCTCAGCAAGTCATCAGAAACAGTGTAGACAGATGATGTTTGGGATAGGATGAGAGAGCTCTAATTGTTCTCCAGATGTTGATAAGGTCTGCTGTAATGCAATATTCCTCCAACATTATTTCCAGTTCTATAGTGTTGAAAAGCAAAACAATTTCAACTTAGCCTTCACAGCCACATAAATCTGTAGCAGTAATATCAGACAATCATAGACTGAAATATCAGCTGTTATCTATTTCAGCTGTTAAGATGGCAACTTAGCAACAATAGATAACACATCAGCAGCATTAACTAAAAACTTATCCACTTAGGAATGTCCCATTTATTGTTAGCAATTATTAAATAAAAAACATCACTCCCCCAATGACTTCAACCGCAACATTTTTCAAGATAAATTTTTCTAGGAAACTCGAAATTATTTATTTTATTTTTACAAGAACAAAGAGCTTCATACCATCTCAGAGAGCATATAAACGTCAAATGAGAGAAGTGAAATGTCTGGAGTAGTATGCAGTTATGGTTATTTCAATGACTACTATACTATAACATTTTAAACAGTGTAAGAATTTTTCAGCTGTTCGATTTAAACGCTTTAAATAATTCCTTACACGTACAGTAAATGGCACGTTTCTGGACACTCCGCTCAAAGTGCTTTAAAGGTAATGTGGACTATCCTCCACCTCTACCAGTGTGCAGTCCCACCTAGGTAATGCACCACTACACTCCCCACACACCAGCTCTCAGTGGGGAGGAGAGCAGAGTGATGAAGCCAGTTCAGAGATGGGGATTATAAGGAGGCCATGACTGGTAAAGGCCCGAGGGAAATTTTTTTTCCAGCACTTTTTATAATAATTATAATAATCATAATTAACTAATTAATTATAAATTTGGACATACTTTTTAACATGCTAAGCTTAGGTTTGAAGATGAAACTTTTCCTCTATAGATCATTAGGATTCAAGGCAAAGAGGAAAGCACCAGTACAGAATGTGGCTCAGCTCCATTCATGCAAAGAGGTACCTCCATTCCCTGGGAAAAGTACCCTGTACGTGGTACATAATGCACACCCACCCACTAGCTAAAAAACTTCTGCCAAAGACCTCAACTCCAGTTTGCATATACCAGGTCTATAATTCCTCTTTCCACTGCCTACAAAACCACACAAACTTTCTCTGTGATTTAATTCAGAACTATGCAAGTCAAAAATCACGGTCAGTGAGATTTTGGATTAAAAAAAAAAAACAGAACGGATTCAACTTGGACATCCAAAGTGATATTAACAGATGAAACGCAGTCTTGGGAGCCAACATCAGCTGATTACCAAACGCTGCGAAATCAGGGGAAGTCAATGGTGCTGTGTTTTTCCCCTCCTCAGGGCACTCAGTTTTCACATCTGCCGCCCAGGCCCAAGCGCTGTCCAGATCGCAAAAGCTGAGAGGACTGCGTGGGACCGGTCTTGAAACACTCCTTGGCAATCTCAAGGGCTTCAGCTCCTGGACCCATTCCCCACAAAGTGGCACCAATGAGTTCCCAGTGAAGGTGCACAGAGACACTGCAGATGGAAAAGTGATCCATGACTTCTGATCACTTGTATTTATCCTGAATTCCTAGACCTTACTTTTGAAATCCTTTTCCTTTAAAGACGACGCTGACGATGCCGCTCAAAAGATTTGTTGTTTTTCTTTTTAAGGCACGGCACAAACTGACGGTAAGGACCGTCACGTTTTAACATTGACAAGCAAAGACATAACACCGTTCATTAAGTTTTTTTCTGGTCTGACAAATTCAAACTAATTTATAGAAGCCACTTTTAAAAAAAACTAGCTCCTCAACTGACTGATACACTCAGACAGCCACAAATATTCAGTATGTACAGTTGGTGAATCATTTTGTTGAAAAGACTTGTTGACATTGCCCTATTATAAAGCTAACTGC